CCCCCCTTCCTGCCCCCTTCAGGCCTCCTTGTCCCTCCCTGCTTCTCCTGAAGGTGTGTGGCCGCCCCTTGGCACTGAAGTGGCCCTCCGACACTGGCACCCGTTGCTCTGCAGAGGGGCGGCACGGTCCTTCTGCTAGCTGCCTGGCCCCTAGACTTTGCTCTCCAATGAGTGCAGGAGTCTCTCTCCCCCCTCAGTCCTGGATCCCAAGGCCCCCCCCCCCGGCCCCCCCCCCCCAGCCGCCTAGGGTCATCTGCTTCTGTGTGGCTTCTTTGTCTCTCGCTGGCTGCAGCCCCAGGCTGGGCCAGAGGAGGCTCAAGTTAGGGTCTTCTGATGGCCAGTGTGACCCTGCCATGGGGCAGGGGTCCTGGCGCCAGGAGCCTTCCCCATTGCCCCCACCCCACCCACACAGGCTCCTCTGGCAGCCTGGGGCAGAGGCAGCCCCTCCCTCGCCTGGCAGGCTGGATCTGGCTCGGCCAGAGCTGCTTTCCTTCCAAGCACCTAGGACGGCTGAGGCTGCCGGTTCGGCTTAGGTTCGGCTTAACGGGATGAGGCATAGGGACTGGGGCACAACTTGAGCCTGGGATGGGGGAGGGGGCACTGTTCTCTATGGGGCAGGAACAATGACCCCTTCCTTCCCCAGCCCACAGCTGCTCTCACCCTGGAAAATTCCAAACAAGCTCCTTGGCTGACCTGGGGAGGCTGCCGCGCAACCTTGCTTTTGCTGGGGAGGCCTGCAGGTCCCTGGGGAGACTCGCCAATGGTGGGGAACTGGGACCTTCCAACTGAGGCCTTTGGAAAGGGTCTGTGCACCTGCCAGGCACCAGGGGGCAGCCTTGCCCTATTCCTGCCCGGCTCCGGGCTGGTGCGGCAGCGATAGGACCGCGGGAGTCACAAAGACCCCTGTCCACTTTGGTCGTGAAGTGCCGCCTGACTCCTCTGCCCAGCAGGCCCCCCTCTGCCCCTTAGGGGACGGGCAGAGACCTGTCAGCCAAGGGCTGGGACCCTGGCCTTCAGTTGCCAGGGCCCAGTCGGGGCAGCCAGCTCAGTGAGGTGGGGGGAGGCTGGGTGGTACCTGTGGCGAAGGCCCTGGCCACCTGCACCCAGAGCCCCCACCCTAAGCTTTACCGGGAGGCAGGGGCCAGCCCTGCAGGCGGCCAGGGCCACCTGCTCTCGGTGGGGCGCAGGCAGGGAGCGGACGACGAGGGCCAGGGCGCTCCCCCCGACCGTGCGCCCTGCCCCCCCGCG